TCAGAGTATAGAGAACACTGAAACAACTAAATTACTTGGACTAATTACTTGGAGTGAAAGCGACATTGAATTGGAGTGAACGTTTGTTATGCGTAAATAACTTCGAGAATGACATGTGCTCATATGAGGAAAAAGACCTGAACACGATTGTTTGCATTCAGGAAAATGACTGTTTTATGCTTGTGTTACTCGAGCATCCTATCTGATAGACCTGAGACAATAGCTGCACTGGCCACCTACCTCACTGTCGCCGTTCTCGGTGCCATCGTCTACGGTCTCACAATGGCTCCTGATGTCCGTCTCGAGCATCGTGCCACTCATACAACCCTTCACAAACCTCGACTCACCCCACTCGATCGTGCCCCATCTCGGTGCATATCTGCCCAGCACACAGTAATCGCCCTCACAAAACGTGCCCATACAATCACGACCCACACAATCCAAGCACTTCACTGCCATACCCCCATCGAATAGCACCGTCATCAGCATCAGCATCATCCGCAGTATTGGTTCGTGCAAACGCATCTTCATTCTGATCCACAAATACACTCAGCTGTTGATATTCGTTGCTTAGTTCTTACATATATTCACCATACACAGTACGTACATAACAGCGATTCAAACCGAACCAAATATTGTTTCTGTCGCAATTCGATCTAAGCAATTTTGAAGCCTTGAAAATGCGCGTTTTTCCAAGCAAATTTAATAATACCATCCGAATCCATTTTCGCCGTTCCGAAATTTGGTTATATCGAACAACTTTTGAATTCGTCCACCGGAATCCGACAGAATCAATTGTTACAACAATTCCGAAATTCGCTAATTACCACAAAAACGAATCATCAAAAGCACAGAATCTAGCCGAATTTCGGTCGCTCATTATTACATAGGCAACGTATCTGGATATCTGGACATCTATCTTTACAGTATCTCGATAATCTGTCAAATACAAGACACCTCCTATTCAGCTGAACGAAGTACGCTTCAAATGGAGCGTCAATGAAACAAACTGCAATTAACTCTCACTTGTTCTCATGAATCGAATTTCCTTTCATACAACTACCAGTCTATTATCTCTTTATCTGAACATACTCACCGTAAAGAAAAGAAAGGAAAATTCTAATTGAAACGATCGAATTTCAGCAGAACAAACAACGACGTATCTAACTAAGCATATGAATATTTACGGATGTCAATTAACGAAACGATCAATATCCTCCATCTTAAGCCAAAGCCAGCATATGAGTAATCACCGACCATGCATAATAAACAACAAAAGCATGTGCT